TAGGTCTAGATTGGCATAAAAGCATTAAAATAATAATTTCTATATCAATGGTAAAGCTTCCCTTTTTGTTTAGTTCTCGTGGTGTTGTGGTGATCTAGGTTGATTTGATATTTATAGTGAATAATGAAAAAACAAAAAAAAACTTGTAAAACATGTTTGTTTGTTTTTTGGTGCAGAAGGAGATTGCTGTTTTGTTGGAAACCATAAGTGGAAAAGTTGGGGATGATTGCAGGAAAGAGGCAAAAACAAAGTTTCCAAATGTTCCAAAACTGGTTATGGACCCAAGAAGGCTTGTTGAACTTCTGCAGATCTGCACCATCATCACCCAAGGTAAGCAACATTCATGCTTTATAAGTATGGATATTAGAGGGCTGATTACAAATTATGTATTTATTATTTATTGAGTTTAAGCCTTAATTTTGTTAATTGTGTGTATTAAACATTGTTTTAATGGAAACCTTCAAAGTACAAGATAATATACTGCAGAGAAAATATCCAATACTTGTCCCAGTAATTAGGGTATTATTGTGAATGTTTATTAAGGTGATTATAAAGATGTTTTGAGGTCACAATAAAAGTGACCTGTTGAGGTTACAGCAGTTGACAAACTTTTATTGTATTTCAGTATTTGTGTTCACATACAACACAAATACTAATGTAAGGACCACGTGACTGGTCATAGCATTGTTCCACTGTCACTCTTTGGCTCTTTAAACCCTGAGCTTCACTGTCAGTACATTTATTCGTCTTTTGAAGTCAGACATAAACTGCTGCTTATATGTATAATACTTGACAAATGTTTACAAAGTATTGGTAATGGTGACTTAGATGTAATGCTGTTACTGCTTTTACTGACAAAATTCTGACTTTCAAATGTGGAAAAAAGAAAATCAAACACCAGCAAGACATTGACTTTCTTGCTTTTGTGTGTTAAAACTTTTAACAAAAACTAGTAAACATTATTGTTTCTTTTTGAAGTGGTGTGAAATGCTTCGATTGATTAATGGCAAAACAAAAAGCCATTACAAAAAGTTTCAGGCTCCTACTTCTGAGCTATGATATATAAAGGCCCAGCATGATGCAAAGAGTAGCCTCCAATTATCAGATTTGTTTCCAAACCCTTCCACACATCCTCTGTTGGATAAAGATTAGGCCATTTTAATCAACAACTTGTACCATCTTATTTGCACTACATTAGGGAAGTCCACCATACCAAAAGTGTTAGTGTAATGTTTTGGTGTAAAGTCTCCTTCTCCGTCATCCTATAGACATGTTCTAAAACTTGCTTGTGTATTGAAGGAGGTATAAATAATAAATAAGGGTCTTCTTGGTCACTCTTAACAGAACAACTTTCATTTGGTCCTAGATTCTGCAAACTGGAAACACCTTACTGACATGCTCTGCCAGGCATTGAGTCTTCACCTTCATTCTTTTTGTAGTCGTTTTTGTTTTTAGCTTGCTCAGTTTTTCTAAATCAAAGGCTGATAGATTTACATGTTTGATATTCCAGCTGTAAAAAGATGATGACAATCATCTGTTTGTGTACATAAGGTGCAGATAAGCTTAACGAAGGCTGGAGTTCAGAGGTTCTGTCTGATCTTCAGGCAGCTTCAACTTTACCAGCTCCCAGGACTCTTGTAGCGTACACACATCTCCTTTCAGGCGCCTGCCTCGCTCATATGGTACGCATTTAACCTACTAGTACAATAAAAAAGAAAAGCAGCATTAAGGATTGATAGAATGTATGTTTGCATTTGTCTCCAGAATCGCCCTCAGATGGCACTGCAATGTTACAGAAAGGCACTGGAGACAGACTCTCGTTGTGTTTGTGCTCTCTACCAGAGCATACTCATCTACAGGCAGCTGAAAAACTCACAGGCTGAGATACAAACTCTCCGTATTCTGCACTCGGTGAGTAACAAATCCGTCCAATAATTCATAGACAAAGAACATGATTGTTGGCAAATAAATTTAAAATGATTTGTGGGTGCAGATGAAATAATCTTGTTGCAAGTAAAAATTGTTTATTTGTGTATGTGTATGGTAATTTTCAAAAAACAGCTCAATAGATAAACAGAAGGTTTTTTTATTTTTTATCCCTGACACATTCAGTGAGTTGCTGGCCTGGATCTTCAAGCACTAATCATCTGTTGTTCCACAGATTTTATTGATGTGCTCCTCAGAGCCTGCTGTGGCTGGAGCCTGTCTTCTGCCTCCGTCCTTATTTCTCCGCAGCCAATCACTGAGCAGCCTGCTCTCAGTCCCGTCTGCCCTCAGTGTCCTTCACAGTCTGGCCCTCAAATGTGTGCTCTTTGGCAGGTTAGAAGAGTAGCTTTAAATCTATTTAACCAGCACTTCAAGTCTAAAGTCGAACATGTAGAACAGAACAGTAGAAATGTGTGTGTGTGTTTTCTGTAGAGTGCCAGAGGGTGTGGAGCATTATCTGGACTTGCTGGCTACTCTTCACTCAGAAGATCAACTGAGAATAGGAGCAAAAACAATGACAGACACACAAGTATTCTTACTTATAAATGAAATAATCTGGGCAAGAGTATTTCGTAATATGTTCTATGACGTGTTTACTGTATGCTGTGTCAGGTGCACGCTGAGGTCTCCACCCTCCCAAAATTACCCTGTCTCTACTTGGAGGCTGGGGCTTCTTTGCTCATGGCCCAACGACCTGCAGACTGTATGGCCCTCTGCAACGAAGTCATCAGCACGACACAGGATCTGCTTCCACAGAAAGTTGTGTTGGAAGTGTCAGAGGAGGTAGATGTGGCTGCGATGGAAGATGTGAAAGACAAGGGCAACGATGCTTTGGTGATGGTTCTCTGGACAGCAACTGCTTACCTCCTCCAGGGTCACTGCTACTCTCACATGAAGGACTGGAAACAAACTGTGACCCACTACACAAGGTGATCAGCAAAAAATGGTTTTAGTCTGATCATTTTTTTTAAATAGATTTTCAACTAAACAAACATCATTATTCCAGGTGTATCAATTTGTTGGTCAAGGTGCACTACAAAAAGAGAGGTGAGTGTTTATCTAAAAATAAATGTTTGTATAGCCCCTTAAGCTTCTGTTTGTTAATGTCATGGTCAGTTGCAGGTTTCCAAACTCAGATCCCCAGTGCAGATACAGATGTCCAGCAAGCAATACATTTTTGCATCCTCCAAAGGCTTAAAGGACTTTCATTAGCTGGTAGAGGTATCGGTTTCATCCAGATGGACCGACTGAAAGAGGCCCTCAGAGACCTGCAGCACAGCCTGCAGGCCCTGCCAGGTACACACGCACCACAGGTGCAAATTTTGTGATCTTTTCTACATGAGAAATATTTGATGTGGCCCAGTTTTTTCCTCAATATGTTAACGTTATGCACAATAAACTGTCACCTAAAGTACAGTGCAATTTTTTTTCATACTTTGGCAACATATAGTATTTGCTGAGGCTTTTTATTTATTTATTCAGGATAAAAGAAATAATGCAAAAGGTTGAACACAAGTGTGTAGATTTCAGACTTCTAAAATGTGAAATCAATATTTGTGGATTTGATTGTTGCTAAGGTGTCCAGTGTCCGTCAGTATTTGACACATTTATCCTGTAACGGATGTGTCTAAAATGTGGATTATACAGTGTGCTGGCTACAAGTGTGCTGCTATAAACGTGAAGCAAAGAGTTGGTCTCTTACTTGTGATAGACACTTGGTATGAGCGTGACAAAGCAAAAAGGACACAAAGTAACTGATAAACACAATATGCTTTTTTTTTTTTTTTTCTGTGTCCTGGTACTTTATTTACTGTTAACTTTCTTATGTTTTGGAGTGGCACTAGATGCATTTTTTACTCTTTTTATCTGTCTTAACTCTAAAGCACTTTGGTCAGCTTTTGTTGTTTTTATGTGCTATATAAATAAATTGACATTGACTTCAGTTACATGTGAACCAAACCTTGGAAATTGTCATGCGTGTAAAAAGAGGCCCTTTACACAGTTAACACATTTCCTTTGACATATGAGCCACAAAATGTTACCATTAACACATTTCTGGTATGGGATCAAAGTGTGTATGTGGTTTATTTGTGTAGTTTTTTTGTTGGTGGTCATGCTGTGTGCTCTGTCACAGAGGGTGTGGGTGCAGGGCTGTGGTGTGGTGAGGTGCTGTGGAGGCTCGGCAGGAGGCGCGAAGCAGCAGCTTGTTGGAAAAAAACCTGGGACCTTCCCACGCAATCCTTAACAGAGTAAAAAAAACCTTGTCTGTCGTCTCTCCATTTGTTGTTTGAGTGTTGAGTATCGTATGTGAAATATAAACACTACACGGCTAAGTTTAAAAGTAACACTATTTTTTGCTGGTATTCAACTAGGCTAAAATCTGATGAGATTATGGAAGTTGTAATACATTTAAAATGCTTTCTGACACCTCAAAGAAACTATAAACTGTTTTAGTTAGATTTGAACAAAATAAAACAATTTTATTTTAAGACTAATTGGGAAAAAAAAAATAATTTTGAGAACTAGTAAGTTAAATCACTTCAGTTTATATGTTAATTATTCAGATGCATCTAAAAAAAGGTAGAATTTAAAAAGTAATTTTTTTTTTGTCAGTCATTTCAGAAAGTGAAACTCATCTATTACATAGATTCATTACGCATAGAATGAACTATTTCTTGTCATTTTGATGATTTTGGCTTAAAAAGAAACAAAATTCAGTGTTTAAAAAATTAGAATATTGTGAAGAGGTTTAATATTGTAAACTCCTGGTGTCACACCCTAATCAGCTGATTAATTCCTAGACATGAGCTACAAATGACTCATTCCTCAAGTTGAGCCACTCCTGAACCAGAGACATCAGAAGTGTCTTGCCTGTTGTGGAGACAAAGAACTGGACTGTTGCTCAGTGGTCCAATGTCCTCTTTTCAGATTAAAGTAAATTTTCATGTAATTTAGAAATCAAGGTCCCAGAGTCTGGAGGAAGAGTGGAGAGGCCCAGAATCCACGTTGCTTGAAGTCCAGAGTGAAGTTTCCACAGTCAGTGATGGTTTGGGTCCATGTCCTCTACTGGTGTTGGTCCACTGTGTTTTCTGAAGTCCACAGTCAACGTAGCATCTACCAGGACATTTTAGAGACTTCATGCTTCCTTCCTTCTGCTGACGAGCTTTACGGAGATGCTGATTTCATTTTCCAGCAGGACTTGGCACCTGCCCACACTGCCAAAGATACCCAAAGCTGGATATGAAAAATTCAAATTTTTTTGAGACACTGAGTAAAAAAATTGTAAGCCATACTCATCAAAATCACAAGAAGTAAAGGCTTAAAATATTTCACTCTGTAATGAATCTATGTAATTGAGTTTCACTGTCTGAAGTGACTGACAAAGGAACCAGAACTTTTTCATGATTTTCTAATTATTATTTTTTTTAGATGCACCTGTACTGCTGCTAACTGTTGCCTTTTATGTTGCAGGACTCTTCCTGTGTATGTACGAGAACCTCAGACTGGACCTTTGTTGGACTGTACTGAACTGCGCCACAGATTACATGAACTCCGTCCTTTCTAGTCAGCATGGAGACAAATGTCCTCATCGCCTCATAAACAAAAAAGGGTTTTCATCGGTCTGTCAAATAAAACCCACAATTCACAAATTTGAATAATTTGGAGAGGTAAAATAAAGGAATTGTGGCATGTAAACTTGACATGATCAAAAATTCTTGCACGTACTGTGAAAACAGTCTACCTGGCTTGTAATGGAAGCTGCTGCCATATTTATTTTAGTTATGCAGTTCATTATTAAAGAAGGTAAACAGAACATACATTTTGGCAAGATACTATAAATTTTATTGTTAAAAATGATTTGTTTCCTGGACTGTTTAACACTTGTCTTTTCATGTACCCACTCATGTCTTCTCATGTACTTCGCATTTACTATAGGTCTCTTTTGAAAATGAGTCCTTGTTACTCAATGAGACTAACCTGTGTAAATAAAGGTTGAATTAATGCATCAAGACTAGTCAGAATTTTCATCGCATTGCAGTTATATCCAGAAAACAAACAAAAAAAAAGGTTTCTAAATTGGTTAAGCTTCCAGCATTACTCACTTTCAATGACGGAAGCAAATTTTATGTTTTTACAAATCTTAAATACAAACGCGGTGCACGTTAACTGGATGGTAATAAGCCAATAGGAGCCAACAAGAGAAAAGTTGATGTCCCCCCTCTTTGTAACTGGCTAATCTGCCATGGTGACGAAAGAGACGGCAGTTTTGATTGGCTGTCGAATTTTGAGGGCCGAATCAGCCAATCAAAATTCAGGATGCATGTTGCTCATGGTATAACCGTAAAGGAGGAACGGAAAAGACTGCTCTTTTCGTGTGAGATCACAGAACGTTCAGTAACGAGAACCAGTTAAGCCTCGTCGATACTAGCTAAAATTAATTTATTTCAATCAATCCAGGAGGACGACCATGGCATCGGGAGGGGAGTAAGTAAACACTTTAGAATTAGGAAAACATATTTTGGAACAATGGCTACGAACTAATAGTCTTTAAATGCCCCAGGTTAGCTCAATGCATTAGTTTACCAAGTTAGCTCAAATGCTAGCAGGGGAGCTAATGGGGTCAGCTACTTTAACCTCAACACTAATTTTGTAAAGTTTATTACCTACTGAAAATTTTCTGATAGATTTACTAAATAACCACACAGTCGTCCTGAGCTGTTTAACGGTACCGAGTTATTGACCACAAAGCGCCGTCGTCGTTCTCGTTCTTGACTTGAATGCTAATATTAGCTTAGCAACAACGTCAAGGCCAAAATCATCCACCGTCACGCAGAAAAATTGGCCCATCTTCCAGTACTTGGCCTGCTTTTGGAACTTGTGTCAAACATAAAATGTCATGAATTTTCAACATGCTGCAATATTTTCACTGACATGTTGAGTTTATTAGAGTAAACGATGTTGCGGTAACTATCATGACGAGCTGTTTAGCTACACGACACAGTGCACCATTAGCAGGCTAGTAGCGTTGAGACATTTTAAATGATTCAGTCTACCACAATCTTATTGTCTCATAGCTTAAAAATCTTGGAATCAAACCTCTCTCGAATATACGCTAAAACGTTAAACATGTCATGCTAGGGCTGTAATGTGAATACTTAGAAGAGGGACCTTGCTAGCCAACAAAGTTTTTTTCTTTTTCTTTTGCTGTGTCATCTGGGTTCCTTTGCTCGGCAGCCGGTTAGCTCAATGCTAACATTAGCATGTTTTCACCGTGAAACGGAAACTATGTAAACCGTTTCCTGCCTTTTCTTGAAATGTGTTAAAACTTAATTCGTTACTCGCTGATGTTCTTTGACTTTGTAAAGGTTTGTAAACGCGTTCTGTCAATTACGTTTCGTGACGGGTTGTGTTGCGTAAACGACCTGTTTGCATGCGTTCGTACAAACATTAAATGTAGCCACGTTACAAACTGTACAGTACACATTGTAGTACCTTGAATTAATAATTATCTTTAGGAAACTATTTTTATATTTAGATAATTAAGTTTGTACCTTTAGAACAAATTGATCATAAATAAGAACGTATGATAACAGAAATACATCTGTTTAAATCCTAATAACCAAGAGCCCCTAAAAAGACCTAAAAAGAAACCTGAGATTTCATGAAGCCATATACTTTGTTTCTAATATATACTGATATATAGCAAACATTGCACATTTAGTTCAAGGGATTTAAATAAAGATTAACTTTCAGAATAACCTGTCAATTACAATTACTCTACTGGTGTCTTTGAGTGTGTTTGTGTTTTTTGCTCTATTAAGTTAAGGTAAATTGGTCTTTTTATAAATTATTATTAAACTACTGTAACTGATTGCACTAGTATACAATGTGTTTTTAACTTGTGTAATTTGTATGGATAAAAAACGAATTAAAAGTATAAAGCAAATTCACTAACAAAAAAAACCAAAACGTATAAACATAAAAATACACAAGTTTTAATTTGGTTGGCTAGTGTTCATCATAGAAGATTGCACCTAAAGGTAAAGTCTATTACAAGATTAGAGAGGTGACTCAAGATGATAGGTGGTGATGACATGATAATAAAATGATGTTATCTTTACACATTTGCTCCGTTTCTCATCACAGATCCAAAAATGATGATTTAGCAACTGCAATTCTGAAACAAAAGAGCAGACCCAACAGACTGGTTGTTGATGAATCCATTAATGAAGACAACAGTGTGGTCTCACTTTCTCAGGTAAACATTTTAAAACCTTTATTTAGGCCTAACTATTTTCCCTCAAGGGATCAATAAAATGTTTTAGTTTTTTTGTTGTTCCTTCCAACAAACCACATGATTTGGTGAGATGGTGAATAGTAATGCAGTGAGTTTAAATAAAATTGCTTTCTGTTTTATTATAAGGCCAAGATGGATGAGCTGCAGCTCTTTCGTGGAGACACAGTGCTAATGAAAGGAAAAAAGAGGCGGGAGACCGTATGCATTGTTCTTTCTGATGACAGCTGTTCTGATGAAAAGGTTCGCATGAACAGGGTGGTCCGAAACAATCTGAGGGTTCGTCTAGGAGATGTCATCAGGTGAGTGACGGCAGATTGTTGTACATTCTTATGTGTACTCATTTAAATGCTATACAATAGTAAGTGTAATGTCTCCTTTTAGCATTCAACCATGTCCTGATGTGAAGTATGGAAAGAGGATTCATGTCCTCCCATTAGATGACACCGTAGAAGGAATTACTGGCAACCTTTTTGAGGTCTACCTGAAGCCATACTTCTTGGAGGCTTACAGACCAATCCGTAAAGGTAAGAGATACCGTCTGTTGTCTAGACAATTCATCATATTTCTTTGGATCGCCTTGTACTAAAAGTTTTGATTACTTTTTTGAAGGGGATATTTTCCTGGTCAGAGGAGGCATGCGTGCTGTCGAGTTCAAGGTGGTGGAGACGGATCCCTCCCCCTACTGCATTGTTGCTCCTGACACAGTTATTCACTCAGAGGGTGAGCCAATCAGAAGAGAGGTGAGTTTCAACCTATGCTGTTCTGCATGAACTTTAAATTTGTCAGAAAAGTACAAATCTTGTGTTTTAACAGGATGAGGAAGAGGCCCTGAATGAGGTGGGCTACGATGACATTGGAGGAGTCAGGAAGCAGTTAGCTCAGATCAAAGAGATGGTGGAGCTGCCTCTCAGACATCCTTCACTGTTTAAGGCCATAGGAGTCAAGGTGAGACACCGGTCTTAATAGCACTCTTTTTTTTATATTTTATTTTTTCTTCACTGTGGAGTTTTAAAATTCATTTGTAATATTTAGCAAAATTGTTTTAAAGGGGAAAAAAATGTCAAAAGTAAACTGGGAACCTCAGATACATCTATTATTGAGACTGTTAAAGGAGTTGTAGTGTAATTACAGTATATACATGACTAATTCCAGACAAATGATTAACTTAATTTTAATTTTTTATTGGCATTGAGGCATTTTAGTTTTGTTTTACGGAGCTGCCTTTTCATCTCCTAAGGGAGATTCACTTTAAAAGTTTTATATATCGGATATCTGTTTTTGTTTTCCCTAAATATCCCCAAATTATATATATATATTAAAAAAAAATTTTTTGTTTGTTTTAGCCTCCACGTGGAATACTTCTATATGGACCCCCTGGAACTGGAAAGACTTTGATTGCCAGAGCTGTGGCCAATGAAACAGGAGCTTTCTTCTTCCTAATTAATGGTAACGTATCTTGTTTATTTTTACTTGGCTCTTCTTTGTTTGAAGCTGATGGTCATACTGTATTAGCCTTTTTTTAATTTTATTTTGAATGTTCATCTGCATTTCAGGCCCTGAGATTATGAGTAAACTGGCAGGTGAGAGTGAGAGTAATCTGAGAAAAGCCTTTGAGGAAGCTGAGAAGAATGCTCCTGCTATAATATTTATTGATGAACTTGATGCAATTGCTCCAAAGAGGGAGAAGGTGAGTACAAAAAGTAGGAAGATTAGAAAAAGACGAGTACAACCTGTTTATGATTTTGATATTTTGAAACTTAAATCAATTTTTCAAATACATTTACAG